TATGAAAAGATTAGGTGCTGATTGTTTGAAATAAATAAATAAAAACCGAGAAAAATCTCATTCATATAAAAGAAAATAAGAAAAAAAAAACATTGTCATCGATTAAAAATAAGAGATGTGTTTTGTTGAAGAAAGAGGAGAGTGAGAATGAGTAATGTGCTGATTACATTTGAGGCATGTTACAATCTCCTAATAAAACTAAATTTTAGCATATATACATATAATCTTAAGCATTTTGATAAGTTTAAAGTATTTATGTTTAGAAAAACAAGTTTTAGAGATTTTTTATTTATTATTATGGTGATATCATGTAGGATCATATGCTTTTTAATTATTTTTTATTAGACGTAATGAAATTAATTTAACCCTTAGACAATATTTCTACTTCATAAAAGAAAAAAAGATTATATATATATATCCACAAGTAGCGCATGGATAATCAATTAGTTTCTTCTAAATCTAGCATCAAAATGTCCCAAGCAAAGAAACAAAACAAACAATAATAAGCCAAAATAATCCATGATTAACGAGTAATTACTAGTTAGATACTCGCGCTATGCTACGATTAAACAACTATTACATACGTAGAGTTAACAATTCGTATAGTGTAATGTGAATGAAAGTTTTATTTACGGTAATTAATGTAAATCGAATATATATATTGAGTGAAATCGTTTGATTTATATATATTTATTAACAAAATATTTAGTAATATTAGCATAAAAATTTGTATTTGAATAATTAGGAAGTTCTTTCAAAACATTATCTAACTTATTTTATTTAAAAAATAAATTTTTAGAATATAAAAAATAAATAAATAATAATTGATATTATGTGTTTAGATATATATATATATATATATATATATATATATGTATGTATGTATTCATGTATGTATAGGAAGAAAAAAAGAAAAGAGGCTAGGAAAAAGAGGCTAGGCTCGCACGGGGCAACCGGGTGTGTGCTTGGCCTCTTTTTTTTTTTTCTCCTTTCCTATATATATATATATATATATATATGTAAAGAAATAAAAGGAGGGGGCCGGGCGCGAGTTACCGGACGGGTCGTGCACTTTGGCTTATGAGTGCAAGCTAGCGTGTCGAGCGACCAAGGTCGTTTAACCTAGAAAAAACAATGCTACAATAAATGAATAGTGACAATACTAGATCTTTTAGTTTTTTTTTAGTAATATACAAAGAAACAATCCAACTAAACCCTTTAAGAACTTGTTGTTGGCTCCATGATACCTCTCGCAGTACTTGTGTATGTGTCAAAATGTTAATATCTTTTACTTTTTTACATAGGTTAAGAGAAATTAATTATTATGTCCTCGCATTTTCTTTATTTGTATTTTTTTAAAATACCTTACCGTTCTACCAAAGTTAAGTTTTAAAATTTTTAAAAAGATATGGAGATCATTAAAATTTTTCAATATCATTAAAGAATCCTAAATTTTCATGTCTTTTGAAAATTTTTATGTTAAATATGAAGAATATTGATTTTCTAATTAGTAAAATTAATAAACAGAAAAAAGAATTGATTAGAAGTATTTCAAGAAAATACAATATTTAAAGTTTTGATTCGATAATTATTTTGGGACAAACATAAATAGAAAGAGAGAATTCTTGTGGACAATTCCTTTGGGACAAAAGGAGTACTATTTAAAAAATGGATCAACTCTTCCCAAAAGAAAAAAAAATCTAGTCTAACGATTGCTTAATTGCACATTTGCTTTCTACTCGAAATTATTATATCATTCGATATAAAATCACAATACATGCAAGAAAGCACAATTCTTAAATCCTCAATTCACCCATATTTTGAATACATAAAAAGCCTTACATCCCAAGAGAAAGAAAATGTTTGTTGGCTTCAATCGGGAAAGCTTTCCATTTTTTGGGTTTTGATTTCACATTTTTCGACGTCGCTTCGAGTTTTTGAGTTCTTACATAGTTTCTTTCCTTGCTCGGTGAAATGCTTCTTTGATACGGACCAATATGTTTGGGAATTCATGAAACGAGTATGAGTGTGGTAAATGCTGAAAAAAACACCATTGACCCAAGTTTGAGTTTTTTATTTTAACTCGATGCCAAATGGCCCAACGAGCAAAATACATACGGTAAGCCCATGATTTAGTGGTGATTTTGGTAAAAAACAAAAAACATCGTTTAGGCCATCAAAATTACAATTTACTATTTTTTGAGATTTTTTCGTAATATTTTTGGATTTTAGTGTTTGTTTCCTTTTCAAATTATTTTAGAATTTTGACGGAAAATTTACTATTTCTATATGACTTTGAGGCTAAAAACGCAACTTTTTCTTGATTAATAAACTTTTATGAGCGAGTATCTCCGTTTTTCCAATTTCGACATTTTTTGAATGAACGGGATTGAAGCCTATTTCTCGGTATTTTTTTGTGCAATTCAACATGTTATAGTAGGTCAATATTTGAATTTCGGATCAATGGTATTTATCCTTTTCTTGTGAGTTTCCCATTACGTTAGTTGGTATTAGAACTCGGTTATCGTTTGCTCGACCATACCATCGAGGAGACAACAACAAGAGCAAGATATGGATGACATCTATGAACGTACCGATGTGATGCATTTAGAATAGTGAATTTAGTAGATGAATGATAGGATGGAGCGAGTCCCTACGGTAGTTGACACGGAAGATGGAGGCATTGATGCATCGGATGGGTACGCCGATGATGAACATGGGTAGAGGCCTTAGAAACCAGAATTAAAATCATCATTAGAAGGCCTCGGAGACTAACCTTGATGATGAAAATATCTCGGTCAGGGCGATAGAGAGTTCCTATGAGGGATTTTGACGGTAGGAGGTGAGAGAGTAGTATGTGGACAAAGATTTTCAAATTTTATGATACCCTCCAAGCGAAGCATGTTTGGACTCGGTTATCGATAGTAAAGAAGATTATGAAGTTTAAGGAGGTTTTTGAGGATAAGCGAGTGTCCTTCGTAGCCACCGGATTTAGAAAGAGGGCGATTGGTTGGTAGGAAGAGGTGAAGCCGACCGAAATAGGATGGGTAAGCTTAAGATCACGTCATGGCGGAAGATGAAGAAACACATGCATATTAACTTCTTACCCTACGACTTTTAGATGATGATGTACCAAAGGTTACGGGATTTGAGACAAGGGGCCCGATTAGTAGATGATTACATTATTAAGTTCTATCGGTTGTTAGCTCGAAATAAACTACAAGAGACAAAGGATCGGCTAGTGGTGAGGTATATTGGTGAACCGAAACCATGAATTACGGACTACGTTAATATGTTTAACCCTATGTGTCTTTTGGCTACCTTTTAAGAAGCATTGCGAGTTGAAAAACAATCTTATCGGAGTAGCTTTATTAATCCTTTCAGCATGGGAAGAAGTAGCGACATAATTGGTGGTGGTGGTGTAGTCCGGGCAAGAAAGGAAGGTAGCAAGAATACCATAGTTACCGAACGAGAGGAGTAGGGTAGCTAGTGTCAATATAAAGTGCTTTGGGTGTGGTGAAGTTGGCCATAGATAGTCCGAGTGTCGGAAGGCAAGGAAGAGAACATTTCTTGTTGATGTTGAAGATTATGATGAAGGTGATGTAGAGTTGATTGGTGATCCAATTTATGATGATAGAGATACCTCGAAAGAGGAGGTTATGATGGGTGATAAGGGGACAACACTAGTTGTTAGAAGGTCCTGCTTGACTCTTAAAGTTGCTAATGATAATTGGCTAAGGACTCAAATTTTCCAATCCACCTGCACAATTCAAGGTAAGGTATGTCATTTTTTCATTGATGCCAATAGTTGTGAGAATATTGTGTTTAATGAAGTAGTGTACAAACTAAATCTCAAAACAGAGAGGCACCCCAGGTCCGACAAGTTGGCTCGACTTAAAAAAGAGGAAGGGGTGCCTGTTTCTTAATGAGCTTTAGTTTTTTTTTTTTTTTTTTCTCTATTGGCTCTAAGTATCGGGATAATGTGTGGTGTGATGTGGTTGTAATGGATGCATGCCATTTACTGTCGGGTGGACCTTGATAGTATAATATGGGTGTACTTCATGATGGACGAGCTAACACATATAGTTTTATGTTTAATGGGGTAAAGATTGTACTTATACATAGCAAGATCCTAGGTGTTTCTAAACTCGCAGGAGACAATAGCAAGTTGGTGTCGCTAGCTCGATTTTTGGTGATAGTTGAGAAGATTAACCCAAATGCTTATCGCCCGAAGTTGCTTAGCCATATCCGTACTGCTCGATGTTTTCAATGTCAAGCATTTGATTCCCTTTCACGATGACTCTTCTAGCGATGATGATGTAGACAATTCGACGGTGAATTTTCCCTTTCTAGGGGGAATGATGTGGATCAATAGGCCTAAGAATTCATGAAATAGTATGAGTGCAACAAAAGCTGAAAAAAACACTCGTTGGCTCAATTCGAGGTTTTTTAGCCTAATTCGAAGCTAAACGGGCTAAAAAGTAAACTCATGGGCTAGGCCCATGATTTAGGGGTGATTTTGGTAAAAAAAAAAAACATCGTTTAGGCCCTCAAAATCATAATTTACTTTTTTTTTGGGATTTTTTCTTAATATTTTTGGATTTTAGTGTTTGTTTTCTTTTCAAATTGCTTTAGGGTTTTGATTGAAAATTTACTATTTATATATGACTTTAAGGCTGAAAAACGTCACTTTTGCTTGATTAATATACTTTTATGAGAGAGTATCTCGGTTATCTCAATTTCTAGCATTCTTAGAATCAACTCTTAGTAGAAATAATATAATGTAGCTGCATCAGCCATTTAGTTAATAAAGCACAGCAATATATGTATCCTGCTTTTGCAATTTTTGCTGACTAGTCAAACAACAATTAACTGGAAGATACCTCTACACTAACTAGAATGTGCTCAAAATTTGCTGACATCTCAGAAATCACAGATTCGCAAGACAGGAAAAAGTTAGACCAGTTCTAGATGTTGCTTACTTTCCTAGTATTTTTTTCTCACTTCTCTGCTTCTATTGGACTTTGAAGCAAGAACATATCCATTGGTTCAAAACCAACTATTTAAATAGCTGTTTGGATTCGCAATCATCCTCCTTGCTTAAGACTTGATTAAACACAGCAAATAGGTGAGAAAAACAGACCAACTGAAAATTATATAACTCACATACAGGCAATAACAGACAGATATATGTGCAATCTTTCTATTGTAAAGGATCCACGATTTTCAAATGTAAGTCTTACAGCAGATATCTTATTCAGTTGAAGTATTTAAGAAAATTCGAGAAACAAAGGAATGACTAAGTACATCAAGCAATGCACAAATTCGGGAAAATGTTGTTTGTCTTTGATGGTGCACAGGTGTCGGACCAAATGCACAACCATGTGAAACATCTTCCAGTAGTTCAGTACCTAATGATGTGGCGGCGCTTCCATAGCTCATGCATAACCATGTGAAACTCGTCATACTTGACCGGAGGAGAATGCCACTTGAAATACTTCCCAACCTGCAAACAAGAAGAAATATAAATAAAGTCATCAAGCTGAATATTCCTCCATAGTTCAAGCAGATAACAGTTAATCAGGAGGGCCACAGTAGCATGCATCTTGGCAATGAGTTTGGGTTGGAAGGTACAGAAGATGATGATGAATTAATTTTTGGGAATACAATGAAAGTAATCAGAGATAAAGTCAAAATTAATTCTTATATACCTTAAGAACATTTTGACGCATTTTCCAGTATGGGAACATCATCCACTTTTGAGTATTACAGAGAATGCATTCCAGTCAAGAACGTCATTGAATGGCAAGTCATTGTAGTCGGACATTATAACTGCAGAAAGACACATGAACTGCTTTGAAAAGAAACCAGAGGACGGGCTGATGAGGTAAAAAAGAGAATAATGTATGCTTGGGGTAAACTACATAATGAATAAACTCAACACAAGAACAAAAGAAAAGCTTTGTGAGAAGCATTTTACCAGGTACACATCCAAAAGCCATCGACTCTGCTAAGCAAACTTACTCCTATATATCCTTCTGAAAAGTATCTAGTACAGAAGCCCTTTTAATTTTCTGGACGAGATGGAACTCGAATTCTTTATTACCTTCTTAAGCAACTCGAAGATTCCTTCTTACATCTGAGTTGGCAGACCCAGCCCAGAAACCAAGTTTAGTCCTGCAATAATTTCCACAGAAGCTTAGCCAAAGCATCAATGATTCTGTTAATGTGTTGTGAACTATATATAGTTTAAAAGCACGCATCAAATTCAAGATGTACAACAATAATTAACCACTACAGACTATGCGATGAATACTTAAGAATGCAACTACCAAGTTGATTAATATCTAGAAACAAAAAGCCTGCATGCTCAAAAGGCATGTGAAACTTGGAAATTTTAAAGCCAGATTGTACTGCAGTTCAGATGAGCCAAAAGCATTGAGAAAAATTTGGTAACATTTCACTACTTGGGGAGGCGTATCTTCTCTGGGGAAATCAGGGTAGGGCGAGACCCCACAGTTGACCTGCAAGTTGCATCAAGTTTTTGAAGTTCAGTATTTGAGTTCGCTTCCAAAAATTAATGTTCATGGAAAATCCGGAATTGAATTACATAAATGCCTTCAAAAGTACACTACTTCAAGGATTAACAAATTTTTCCTCCATAAAAAGATTACCTGTTCCACACGTCGTCTTCATCAGGAGGAATAGAGAGCTCCAGTATCTGTGGGAGGGAATCATAACTTGGTGAACACACGAGCCGAACTGCATTTTTCAGGAGAAATGGAACTAAAACAACTAAAATGCAGAGTTTCCTAAAGTCGTATTCCAGTACTGAAGCTGTCAACATAGTTCTCGATAACCATCTCCTTATAACCAGCTGGTGAGGGGAAGAGATATAATATAATATATGCATATCAAACAACTAAAAAAACAGAGTTTCCAAATCAAAATTATGTTGCAAAAGAAAAACTGAAATAGAATCTCTCAACAAACTTATGGTCATATCTATCTTCGCATCAATATCCTAAATCCTTAAAAATGCACAGCTAATTAATACATCATTTGGACGTAATCTTAGAATTAAAGCATGCAAGGAATCAATTAGTCCATTGCTTACTTTCAATTACAAAGATCAAAGTAAATCAGTTCTTGGGTTTAAAGCACATACCTGGTCTCGCATTGGTTGACAAGAAAGGGGGATAAAGAAGAGATGAGCCTCGCGAGGATTTTTAGTCAAAAACGGACTGTCTCTCAGATTCATGAAGAATTAATGTTCACTTGCATAATTGCTCTTGAGCTTGTTATCTGTTGTGTGGTAACATGTTTGTGGGTTTCCACCTGGGTACACGAATACCTTGAATTAAATATGGACTTGAATTGCCCTACAAGGAGACACAAAATCTTCTATTTTTTTAATATATATATATATATATTAAAAAAATCTTCTATCTAAAAAATCAAATAATATATTTTTAAATTCATCAAATCCAAAATAATTATTTTCTTACCAAAACTTCCTCTCATTAGTTCTTCAATTTAACACTAGTTAATGTATTTTAGTTATTGACCAAAATATCCTTTCATATTGTCAATTTTTTTTTTAACACTTGCGCCAATTAATCATAGATAATAGAGATATCAAAAAACTATTTATCTTAGAAAGTTTGCAAAATACTCTATTGAAAAATTATCCTTCCATAAAGTCCAAAACATTATCAAGTAGTTATGATAGATCGAGCTACTCTTTACATAATAGATTCACCTAAATAGTTTTATTGCAAGTCAAATGATTATGACCCACATTTTTATAGTTGCTACAATATAGTAGTCATTTAGACTCGCCAATGATTCAATTCTCCTCCTTTTTGGTTGACACAGGTGTGGACGTGTCTACAGAGAAAGTATAAGAGTTTGTTTTGGAGTTTCTTGAAGATCATAATGAAAAATAGTAAGCATGTCATCATCGAGCACTATATTAATAGACTCGCATATGCTAATCTCCATTGTTTAGTTTTGAAATATGGAGAATAATAACTCATTATGTTTCTTCATATTTCATCACAAACCTTGGCGATATAAATACATGTAAGCTTGGTTTGTTTTTCATATTTTACAATTATAACTCATGGTCTCTAAGTTCATTGTATGTCTCTTACCATCATCAACTTTAAACAGATTTTGATTTAAAAGAGAAACTTGATAGATAATAGATTGGAAAACATACTTTCTAATTACACTATCCACAATTGGTGTAAAAGCTTTTGGCCATGTGATTAATTCTACTTTACATGTATAGAACATTACCATCAATTTCTCTCAAATATTATTTACCATGGGGATGGTAGAAAGAGTTCATGCTTCAAGTATCCAACTATTAAAACTTTTTGTGATATTTGTTGTTAAATTTCCAAACCTATAACCACTTGCAAAACTTCTATTCATCGACATGTCTCCGAATCTTTCACTAACCATTGGTCCATTTTTGGAGAGATTTTCTTAATCTTGTCAAGATTTTTGTTAAGTACTTCAAGTGTAATAGAATTAGTTCCTCTATAAATGCAATTCTTTATCACCTTTTTTGTGCATTGTCTAACACTGCTTAACAGATGACCTATCAAATTGGCAATTAGATGATGAACACAATAAGCATGATAAAAATTTAGAAATACTTATGTGACAAAATCAACAAAACCCACATATCAATAAAAGATAATAGTTAAGGCCTTCATTCCTCTTAAGATAGTCTTCAAGTTAGATAAAAATCAATGCCAATTTAATTGAGTCTCACCAAGGACAATACTGAAAGCAAAATGAAATAACTAATCATTGGCATCAATGGCAATTATCAATATCACGATAATTTTGTAGTGATGTTTTCAAAATTTTCCATCTATGAATAATAATGGATGACAAGCATTTAAATCCAATAATTTGTCCATGAAAAATGATAAAGAGTTGCGGGAACCTATTACCTATTGATGTTTCCCACCCTAGTCGACTATCCGAATTCGTTTCTAGCATTTTTAAACACAATCAAGAAATTTGACAAAATAAAGCTTCGTGTGAACCATGTATTATTTGGCTTGCAATTTCTTTTCCTTTGTAAGCTTGTTTATAACTTGATGAAAATCCATATTCACAACAAATGTCATAATAATATCTCTAGCATGATAGTCCGGCATGTCTCTCAATTTATCTTACACTCGTGCAATTAAATTTTTATCGGCTTAGGGATGAGTTTTTGTGTGAATGTTTGGATCATAAGAATGAAATTTATTAAACTTCCTCACACTAAACACCTTTGTACTTGTATCATAGTTGTACGTATCCTCCAATTATACTATTTCTCTTTGCATTTTGTTATAACTTGATGTGGATGATTCTTCATATATATTGTAGGCAAAGTAATGTGTAATAAAATTCTTTTTTAGTGCTTCTCAAAATTCATTTACTCCTTCAAACATTTGACCTTCCCCAATTATCATATTTTTTTTCTAGATAATAACATCTTAGACTCAAGTTTTAGGGTGTCACAACCACTCGTTACTAGAGTGTAATTGAGAATTTGATTGCCTCCATGCATATGATATTGCAATGAATTTAGTACGTTATAATATATTGCTTGCTTACCAATATAATTCTTTTGAAGTAAACAAAGAGATAAATTAAAAAACATAAATTGATTATTTTTTTTATTGATTTCTAACATATAAATATGCAATTATTTTATCTTTAAATAGCCTAATAAAGTATTTCAAATCGGCATCGCCCTTTAAAGAAACAAGCAAAAGAAACAAGCGAGACATCCATTATATGAAATGTAGTCCTTTAATAAAATCATGGACTTGTCTAAACTGAAAGTTGTAGCCACATTGTCAATAATAAAAGTAAATATCATCTCCTCACCAACTTCAATAAGATAGGCTTGCCCTAAAATGTAGGCTTATTTACTTTCATCTTGATAAAATTCTTCAAATCTACAAACAACATTTAACTTTTATGCCATGTCAAATTTTCCGAATACCAAATTAGATCGACAAATCAATATATATATAAAACTAATGGTTTGCCAAAAACTTAGGTTTTTGTAGAAAAGGATGAAAGATTCTTGGAATCAAATAAATCAATAATTTTTGGCCACATAAAGGTTCTAACAATAAAGATGAAAGCTAGAGACATGTTGTTCAATTTAAGAAAAAGTGATGTCTCATATGTCAATGATTGGTTGTTTAGTTGAATCAAGTTGTGTTCCTAAAGTAAGACTATAGATGGACTTCAATTTCTATTCTAAGAAGAGATCTAGAAATTTAAATTTTACTCCAAAAGTTGGGCAACCTAACATATTAGGATAAAACCTTGGTAAGCGAATTTATGGAATTCAAACTAAGAATTGATGCCAAGTTTAATAATTAAGATCATTCAATTTATTATTTAAAAGTTGTTGCTAATTTTTCAATTTTCTTGGAGCATTTGAATAGTTAGTCGGGAATTTAGTTGACAATGATATGTGATTCTAATTCTTTCCAAAGTTTCTCCTCATTTTTCTTTTTTACATATAAGAACAAAATGACTTTACTTGAAGTAGCTCAAACCTAGTTTAAGTTGAGATTTTTTGTAAGTTATAAGTGGGAATCAAAAGAAAAAAAAATCTTTTCATAAGAAAACTTGCTTTAAGACTACTCAAGAAATCAACTGCAAATGACATAGACCTTGATGCCAAAAATGCAAGTTGCAGAAAGGATGAGATGTCCTTGTAAAACCCTAAGAACATTGTAGGCAATATTCATAGAAAAATTCATCACCATTAAAGTTATATAGAAGTCTAAGGAAGCTTATTGGCTTCAAATAGACATGTTTAGGAATAACTTGAATACAAAATAGCTAGAACTAGATTAAATTTATAGATCAAAATGGTAAATGACAACAACATGGTCAAAACATGATGATGAGATCATGAATTTCATTTATTTTATTCCTAGAATCTTTATAGAAAAAGAACATAACATACCTTGAGAAATATAGTTAAAATCTTTATTCGTAAATGAAGATAAAAGGTTAACTAGATTTGTGTATTACAAGTAATTGATGAACTTTTATCGTTTTGTCTTCTATGATCAATTGGAAAAAAAATTAGAGGAAAAAAATAGAATTTTTATTGTATTAAAGGATATTTTGATCAATAACTAAAATATAGTAACTTGTGTGTTAAATTGGGGGTTAACTAGTGGGTGTTTTGGTAAGAACAATTTTTTTGGATTTCACAAATTCAAAAATATATTGTTGGGTTTTTTATCTAGAATTTTTTTAGAAGTTTTTTTGTAGAAATGTTTCCTAAATTATTTTTCAAGAAATGAAAATGGTAAAAAAAACAATAACAATGGAATTATTGAAGAAAAGGATAAATCACATTAAATACCCATTGTTTTGAGCGTGGCAACACTTTGCACTTCTAGTTTTCAAAAATTATGCTTTACATCATATAAATTTTATAATGACAAGGCTAACCTCCTATAAACATTCCATGGTCCCTTTTTCAACCATCATTTAGTCATTTGTGTCTTTTTTTTTCTTTTTTCATTCTTTTTCTATCTCTTTTCTAACACAAGTAGCCCATTGCGACTATCTTTTCTATCCACCCTAATTATAAATTAGCTCAATACCATAATTAACAATATTTATCACCATCAAAATTACCCAAAATCACCACCATCAATTAGATCGCCACCACCTCCCTTGATGCATATGGGTTCGTTGTTAGCCTCTAATTGCTTTTAGTAGTAACCCTCCTATTTTCTTTCCATAATTACAAACCTACACTAATGGAAAATTGATAATGGGTAAACCCATAACTATCGCTATCAAAAGAAAGAAATTTGAGAAGATGAACATGATAATGTGTTAGGATTTGTTAAACCCTCCTAACATGTAGATGTTAGGGATTGTAAAAAAAATTTGGCTTACAAATGGGACTTACACTTTAAAATTGAGAAACTGGTGGTTTGGCATGGTCATTTTAGATAAGGAAAAGAAGAATATAGGATGGTAAAAAGAAAGTAAGATATGGGTTTAAAAGAATAAAAGAAAGGAAGAGTGGTTTTATATTTAGGTTGGTAACTTTTAACGAGTCCTAACACATAATAGATTGATAGATAAATATATTGAGCTCAAGAAGTACTTACCACCATTTGAAATTTTATAAAGCATGCTTAACCATTTAGTTAGCAAGCTTTTCAAATAAATCAAAACTTAGCTAGAAGCTTCTAGCAATAAGCCCATTCAAGACTTCGTTTTGTAATTTGTTCTTTTAATTACGATTGATGATGCATGAGTTTTAGGCATCTAGATTTATTAAGTTTGATATCCAACCTCCTAGAAAGGATGGAAATAATGGTCGTGGTGTCCATCTTTATCCCGTATACATGAAAGGAAAATACTGGAGTTAGCGATCCTAGAGGTTGCTTGAGTAAAGCCACTTTGATGGTTAAGTCAATATTTTAATGATATTGTATATATGAGAAAGAGGTGGATCTTTGTAAATATATATGTATATTTGTGTGTTTAGAGTTGTTAAGGAAAAAAAGTATTGTCTAACTATTTTTCTTTTGTTTAAGAAGTTGCATTCAACTTATCTTTTATAAATAGGAGAACTCTTATATATAGTAGGAAATAAGGGGTATAGAGCATACTTTTAGTGTTGTTATCACCTAGTTTTCAACCCATTTATTTTTATATTATTATAAAGATAGTAAGAAGATATTTACATGCTATAACTATAATACGTAAATATATAATTATTGGAGTAATCATAAGAGTATCCTAAATAGGGTGTGTGTGTGTGTATGTGTGTGTATGTATGTATGTATGTATGTACTGATCTCTTCTATAAAGAAATATAAGAGAATTTAGTTTCATCTTTATTTATATGGTATCGAGCCACTCGCCATTATTGCCACTAGTGAGCTATCATATATTTTTCTCTTTTCCTTGCTACCCTAGTAAGTCATCATCGCCTTGGTGCCCTTTTGCTTTCTTTCTTTTAATGGCTAATGGAATAGAGAAGAAAATTATGATCTTTGATGTTGTTACTATAACAACAAAGATTACGGAATATAAACTCAATGGATAAATTTTTTTAGATTGGAGTAAAACGGTGCACGTGTATCTCTACGAGTATTGATAAAGATGATCATCTTACTCATGATCCCCTAACCGATGATTTGAAAAAAAAAAAAAAGCTTGGTTGAGAGTAGATTCTAAAAAATATTTATAGATTAAAAACTCTATTAATAGTGAGGTAATTGGTCGATTAGTTACTATAAGTTTATTAAAGATCTTATGGATTATTTAGAAAAGGTAATATTTCTCATATTTATGATATATGTACGGAGCTCTATCATCCAAAAAAGTAGGACAAAACCTTTACTAAATATTTCATGAATTTTAAACGGGTTTATAAAGAGTTGAATTCTTTTCTTCCTTTTTGGTATTGATGTGAAGGCTCAACGGGCTCAACATAAGTATATGGTTGTCATGAGTTTTCTTGTAGGTCTACCACCTAAATTTGACACTACTCATACGGAAATTCTTTCTAGTCCGAAGTTGTCTCTCTTTATGACACCTTCACTAGAATATTACATATAAAGACATCTCAAACCTTCTCCTCGGTATTATTAGTGCCCTTATGAGTTGAGGTAGTTGGAATGAGAAAGGTCAATGAGGTTGAAGTGACGAAGTGATCAACATAATTTTGGTTTTTAAGGTGAGGAAGAAATGGCAATCATGGATAGGTGATCAAAACGGACCACTAACATGATATTTTATGGAGACCCCGGTCATACAAGATGTATATGTTGGAAACTTCATGGAAAACCTCCAAATTCAGTTCATATTGCAAACCTTACAAACCAAGAGGCTAGTCATGCCTCTCCCCGACATGAGAAGTTTATAATGGTGTCTACTAATGACTTTGCTCAATTTACTCGGTGTCTATCCTCACTAAAGTCTTCAATCCCATCTATCATTATCATTGATGAGATATGTAAACTCACTACATGCCTTTTATTATCATCTTCCAAATGGGTCATTGATTCTAATACTACAAATCACATGACATATAATACAAATATTCTCTCCTCTTTTATTTCACACAACAATTTTTCTAGTATTACTTTGGTCGATGGGTCAACCACATCGGTTATAAAAATTAAAATGACTTTTCCTACATCAACTATCTCTTTGTCATTTGTCCTATATTTACATAATTTTTCATTTAATCTATTATCGATCAATAAAATCACTTGGGTTCTTAATTATTGTGTCTTTTTTTTCCTTTCCATTGTGTATTTTAGGATCTTACGTTGAGGAAGATTATTGTAGAGGATATAAGTCCGAAGTGCTATATCATCTTCAGCTTATACCATAACCTATCGCTTGTTCTAGTCTTTTCGAGCTCTTAAGTTACACATTGGTTAAGGTATCTTTCTTCGTTTTTCTTAAAGAAATTGTTTTCTCAATTTTAGAATTTATCTTTTTTAGAATATGAGTCATGTCAATTTGCTAAACACCATCATGTGTTGTATTTTTCTAAGATCAATAAACGGGTTATATCACCTTTTGAGTTAATTTATTATGATGTTTTGGGTCCTTATCTAGTGGCTTCTACAATTGATTTTTGGTATTTTATCATATTTATTAATGATTATTCTCGTGTTACTTAGTTATATTTAATGAGAATTCAATCTAACTTGTTCTCTATATTTTGTGCTTTTGTGTTGAAATTGAAACTCAATTAAATGTTTTAGTACATGTTTTAAGTAGTGATAATATGAAAAAGTATTTTTTTAAGTCATTCAATGCCTTTATGATATAAAATAGGATTCTACATCAATCATCATGTGTTGACACACCACCTCAAAATGGTGTTCGCTGAACGAAAGAATATACATTTACTAGAGGTTGTTAAAGCCTTTCTTTTTTAGATGAAAGTTCCTAAATAATTCTAGGTTGATGTTGTGTCTACAATGTGTTTCTTAATCAATTGATGTGCCTTCCTTTATTCTTTCCGGTGATACTCCTCATTTTGTTTTATTCACTTCTCAGCTCTTATTTTTTATAGAACCACATATCTTTGGTTGAATGTATTTTATTTGTGATGTTAATCTTAAAGTGTCTACGTTAGATCCTAAATCTCTTAAGTGTATCTTTTTGGAATACTCTCATCTTCAAAAAGATTATATGTGTTATTTCCTATTTTGGGTTGTTATTTGATTTCTATTGATGTAACATTTTTTGAGACTCATTCGTTTTTTCATGAACCTACTACATATCATTATGAGGAGGAGGAAGATATATTCTAATATATACTCGTGATTATAATTATTGAATCTCATGTACCCATTAAGCCACTTATCACTCAAGTTTACTCTCGCCATACTCATCCATAAGACTCATAACAAAATTAGGATTCACGACCTTTGCCAACTCTTCCCTCTACAAATCTTAGTTTTAATCTTTTAATTGCTCTTCATGAAGGTAAACGACATTGTTCTCATCCTATCTCTTTATTTGTTTTTTATTACCACTTGTTTTCTTATTTGCATTACTTTATTACTTTGTTAGATTCGATGTCCACACTTAAAATGTTACATAAGGCCTTGTCCCATCCCGATTGGTAAACTACTATGGCAAAGAAATGATGGCTTTAGATGATAATGATGCTTGGGAATTAATACGGCTTCTAATAGGTAAGCCGGCTATTATTTATAAATGGTTGTCAAGGTTAATTATGACGATTCTATGGCTCATTTCAAAGCTCGATTAGTTGCAAAAGGGTTTGCTCAAACATGTAATGTAGATTATTCGATACTTTTTCTCCAATTGCCAAACTTACATTTGTTTGTTTATTTGTATCTCTTGTTATTACTAATGATTGGCTCTTACATTAGTTAGACATCAAAAATACTTTCCTTTATGGTGATTTGTAAGAAAAAATCTATATGGAGAAACCACCTAGTTTTGTTGTTGAGGGGGAGTATGAAAAGGTCCGTAAACTTTGAAAGTCTTTGTATGGGTTAAAGAAGAGTCCTCATTCTTGGTTTGGGCATTTCGGGGTAGTAGTTTAAGAATTTGGTATGAAAAAAAGTAATTATGACCATATAATTTTCTATCAATAATTAAAAACTAGTATTATCTTGTTAATTATGAATGTTGATGATATTATGATTACTCGGTAGTGATGATACTAGTATTTTAGCCATTAAATCTTTTATTTATAGCAAATTCTAAACAAAAGACTTGGGTTTGTTGAAGTATTTCTTAGGTATTGAAGTTATGAGTTCCAAAAAGGATATTTTTCTTTCTCAAAGAAAGTATATTCTAAATCTACTGAAAGAAACTTAAAAATTAGGAGCTAAACCTTCTAGTACACTAATGGCTAATAATTTACGACTCACGATAGATGATGCGAGTTATTTGCGATCCTAAACTAAATTATCTCATAGTAACTCATCTTGAAATCACATATCCTTATAGCATTATGAGTTAGTTTATGTCTTTTTCTTGAGTTACTCATTGGGTAACATTAGAATAGATCTTATGTTATCTCAAAAGGGCTCTAGGGTATGGTTTGCTCTATAATAATCATGGTCATTCTAGTATTGAGTTTTTCTCAATTATAGAATAAATTGAATCTAAGATTGATAGAAGATCTACTAAATGGTATTGTATCTTTGTTGGTGGAAACTTGATGTCATAGAAAAGTAA